GGGCAGAAGCACAAGTGAGGCCGACATGCTTTAGCTATCAGTAAATGATTTCTACTTTTGTAATATTGAAGCATGCTGGATAGTCTTTTGGGTGTAACAGTTTCAAAAGTGTTTGCTTGTTAACTCATTTCATCACTTCACTGTTCCGTTAGCTGTAAGCTTTTGGGTGGGTAGCCTGTTTCCTGTATTTGAAACCACAAAGAGAGATGGAGACTGTTTTAGTCAGATATGAAATGCTAGGGAGGCTGAATTCTTTTACCCAAATGAGAAGTATGAGAAGAGTTGCATTTGCTCAAATAGAATTTAAGCTTGAGGCTGCAATATAAAATGAAGTAAAAATGAGCAATTTAGACAGTAGTGTATAGAAACATGGAAGATCTAATGTGAAGTTCTGGTCAGCTTCCTTTATTTCTTGCAGCAGCCAAAACTAATAAAATCCCGGGTTATATAAACAGAGGCATAGAATCAAGATCACGCAAAGTATTAGTACCGCTTTAGAAAACCCTAGTGAGACCACACTTGGAATACTGCAACCAATTTTGGTAATCACACTACAAAAAAGATGTTGAGACCTTGGAAAAAATTCAGAGAAGAGCAACTAAAATGATCAAAGGCCTGGAGACTTAAAACATATGAAGAACAGCTGCAGGACTTGGGTTTAGCTAGTCCACAGGTCAGCAACCTGCGGCTCCAGAGCCACATGTGGCTCTTTGAGCCTTCCCCTGCGGCTCCCAGCCTCCTCTGCCATTTGCAGACAGAGACAGAGAGAGGCACTTGCGCTTCCCCCCCCCCCTCTCTGTGTGTAAAAAAGAGTGGACTCACAGTGTTCTCCGATGAGCTGAAAAGCTTACTGGGTGGGGCTCCTGCCTTGGCTGCATCTCTGCAGGAAGCAGGAAGGGCAGGAGAGAGCTAGCTAGCCCAGTTATGCTGGCTCAGGAATTCTGGGAGTTGAAGTTCATGAGTCATAAAAGAGCCGAGATTGCCTACCCCTGAGCTTGTTGGAGAACAGCTTGAAGCCAGCTTGCCAGGTGAGCAGAAGATCGGAGAGAGGGAGAGAGGGGGGAAGAGAGAGAGGGAGAGAAAGAGAGAGGGGGGGGGAGAGACTGAGAGACCCTTTTGACATCTAAAATGAAGATAACACTGCCTATACCCTTTTTTACCTTTGTATATATAATGGTATAAAAGAATATATGCAGTGTTATCTTCATTTTAGATATCAAAAGGGTTTTGCGGCTCCAAGTGTTTTGTTTTCGGTGGGAAATGGGTCCAAGTGGCTCTTTGAGTGTTTTGGGCTAGTCTAAAGAAAAGAAGAAATAGGGGTGACATGATAGCAGTATTCCAGTATTTGAGGGGCTGCCACGAATAAGAGGGGATCAAATTATTCTCCAAAGCCCCAGAGGGGAGGACAAGAAACAATAGTTGGAAACTGATCAAAGAGAGAAACAACCTGGAATTAAAGAGAAACTTCCTAACAGTGAGGACAGAAAACCAGTGGAACAGCTTGCCTTCCGAAATCGTGGGCGCTCCATCACTGGAAGTTTTAAGAAGAGATTAGACAGTCACTTGTCTGAGATGGTATAGGTCAGTGATGGCAAACCTTTTAGAGACCGAGTGCCCAAACTGCAACCCCAAACCCACTTACGCATTGTCGGGTGCTGGGTGGGTGTGGCCTACTGGGTTGGTCTGGCCCATTGGGTTGGCGTGGCTGCGGTGGTAACAGCAGACTGGGGGGGACTAAAAAGTTCAATCAATTCCAACTTTGCAAGATCTTTTTTTTCCCCGTGAAAAATTGAAATTGACTGATTGAACCTTTTTTTTTTTTTTTTTGCACGGTGGCAGAGGCCTAAAGCGAAAAGGTTTTATAAAACCCAGCTGAAGGCCTAGGACTGGGGCGACGGCGCGCATGCCCACAGAGAAGGCTCTGAGTACTGCCTCTGGCACCCTTGCCATAGGTTCGCCACCACTGATATAGGTTCTCCTGCTTGAGCGGGGGGGGGGGGGGCTGGACTAGAAGACCTCCAAGGTCCCTTCCATATTCTATTCTATTCCATTCCATTCCATTCCATTCTAAATACAGTTACACTCAAGGGAATTAAAGAAAGTGAGGATTAGATGGAATACAGAAAGAAAAAATAAATTGTAGATCATTCATAACTTCGCAGGATCCAATCTGGATCCAGTCAGATTGGATCCTGCAACATTATCCTGGGACACATATATTCGCCTTCATTCATTTATAACTTTGTGGAATCTAAATATAGCACTTCTAAACCATTGGGTGGTTTTACTGAGTGGAGCCACATTTAATATTTTTAGAGGCTCACCAGTCATAGAGAAAGAGCCAAGTTACATGCATGAGTTTGAGAGGGAGATCTTTGAGAAAATATAGAAGGATATAGAAAAAGAGACAGTGAGCACAGTGGCTAACACATCAAGCAAGAGAAAGGTAGCAGGAGACATAGAACAACCAAGAGAGTTTTATACTCCACATTGGCTATTCTTCTAGGTCACATGCTACAGTGCTACATAAAGACTTCATGTTTTCCACTTCTGGTTTAAGGAGATTAGCTTAGTCTTTATTTTGTGTTTATAACTTTTAAAAAAAAATAAAGAGTGATCATTTGCATTTCCTTTCTGTTTGCTTTGGCATTGTAACATGTTCTGCTTATAGAAATCATCTTGTAGTAGTGGATTTCTACACTGGGTAGGGATTGGACTAGATGTTTTCCACAGTACCTTTTAATACTTGCATTGTATGATTATATTAATTGTGTTTAGTGTAAGGATTTGAATTGCATCATGTTCACAATGCTATTTGCGGTCCTGATAAGCATTGTTCTGTATGGCAAGTATATTCAGTCAAACAGACTTATAGTTTGTAGCTGCCTTGGTAATCTATCTAGCTGTATGCATTAATCTCTGTAAGCAGCTATCTTTCAGATCTATGCAAAGATTGTTGTCAGCAGCAGTGACATTGGAACTGCAGCTTGCATGCCTGATTGTGAACTCCATCTGTTCAATACACATTTTAGATCTCAAATATAATATACATCCCATTATTTTACTGTACTGTATATGCTAATGCCTACATTCTGGATGACTGGGTCTTATCTGATTATAGAGATTACTCGGGCTAAATGAATGTAAAATAACAAAACATCTCTTGTTTTGAAGGAAAAGTTTTTATTCTTTCTAAATAAGTTTTCTAATATACAGATGATAGAAAATATGAAATTCCCAATTTGGTTTGAATTGATTACACCAAAAGATGTCCATATGTGAACTATGGAAAAATTTGTGGCTTAAAAGCAATCTTCAAAATGTCTAAAACAGACAATCTTACAATTCATATTTAGCTTTTTATTTTGTATTCAGAATATATGCCTTTACAAGTTTAGGTTCTTTAGGTGCTACAGTATTCTAGTGATATCTAGGTTTGCCAGATCATAACGATACGGTAAGTAATGCCATATTGGAGGCTTGTTTAAAATTTCACAATTTTAAAGAGTGTCATGGTTCCGATAGATGAGACCAGAAGAAAATAATAACTCTGAGGCAATTGCATTCCTCAAAGAATACTTTTAATGGCTACATAGTATCGGCACGGTCAAAGGTGAAACCAAGACTGAAGGTTCCCTCCCGCCAAGGTTACAAAGTAACAAGTTGAACTTCCCGCCCCTATAATATGTCATACCACAATCCCCAATTATCTACTTTGGCGGGCTTTCTAACGGAAACTCCAGCCTGCCAAAACTTAGGTAGCTTGACCTTGATTCCCACAAGAAAATATTTGTTATGACTAAACTAAGAGAACACATTTCCCTCTTCCCATTGCTGTGGCAACCGAAAATGAGCCAAAGTTGGATGTGGCCAGGATCGTTTGAAGGTTTGACAAAGAGTTTTCATGTTTGTTTATCCGTTAATTGGAAATGAGAAGTTTCTATGAGTAAAAATGGGATTGTGAAGAATACATTGTAGCCAGAGCAAAAGAGAAAGTTGAGTCTGCCAGGGATGGTAAGCTGAATTCAGAAATTCCATGGGTCAAAAGTTCCCTATATCTGTTATGTGGGATTCTAATTCATAGAGGGGATATTTTTAAGTGGTAGCACATACCCATACATTCAGTGGAAGAACTTTTCTCAAAATTGTAGCGGGAGGGAAAGAATTACATTTTATCTCTTTCCTTTGAAAGGGATTCCTATTTGCTGATGTCTATGGAGATTCTCAGTCATCCAGGTCATGATTCGCTTCTCATTCAAGAAGCGTCTTCATTTCTGACTCCATCAGGACTGAAGAAGCTTCTTGGATGAGAAGTGAAATGTGTTCAAGGAAAAACAAAGTCCAGTTGCCTTTTGAAAAAGGACCTTTGGGACTATTTGCTGATGCTTTTTACAAAATACAGAATAGAATAAGGAATAACAGAGTTGGAAGGGACCTTGGAGGTCTTCTAGTCCAACCTCCTGCTGAAGCAGGAGACTCTTTTGCATTATTGAAACTTATAGCTTAAATGCAAAAATGCAGATAATTCAAATAGATATTCTATCAGTTAAATCGTTCTTTTTCCAATGATTTTTCGCCCAGTATCCTCTATTTTTGTCTTTTATTCTTCACATACAGTTTGGAACTCTTCTCCAGAAATATGTTGTCTTCATATTTTAAAAATGTGTTTTAGAATATCTTGGTTTTTGTATTTACAGATAGCTTGGATTTTTGTATGCAAAGAATACTGTCTGAAATACACATTCACATAAAGCTTGCTCTAGTACAATTCACGCTCTTTAGCTCTTTGGATGAAATGCTAGGGGGCTTAAGAATTGCTATTAAATAAGATCTAAAGAAAATGGTTTAATTGTGTTTCTAAGAAGAAAATAACTAAGAAGAAAATATTTGTGGACATTAATGCCCATGTTATGTGTATTGCTAGCCCTTTCTCTTTCGCTGGATTTTTTGTAATCTATTGATTCATTTTTTTCTGCCTTTTTTGTTTTCCCCAATTGTAGAATTTGAAGCGTGTAATGGCAGATGAGGTAAGAGCAATTGTGTTATATATTTTTGGCATTAATTGTTTTTTGTAAATCCTAATAAATTCTAATATAAATTTTGTGCATTCTCTTCCCTGGGTTTTTACTATTAGCTTTCTGACTGCTAACTTTTTTCTTTTGTGAAGTGTTTGCCTTGATAGAGTATATTAACCATTTTTAAAGATGATATAGTATTCCCTGATGCTACTCTTTTTGCAAGAAATGTCTGTACATATTTAATGGTATCATTTAATGGCATCTTTTGTGGAAGCTGTGTCACTTTGACTCTGGCATCCAGTTTGTTCAATGGATTAAATATATAGTCTGCACCAACAGATTGAAAGGAGAGCGTAACTCTTAACCACTTGGCCTCCTTGGTTGCTTTTCTAGAATGGGTCTGGAAGAAAACATATTATGTTACCCCTCCCCTTCTTTATAAAAATCTGATTCTCTGAAGTATTCCTGTACATAATAGGCATTGGGATGATAGGCAACCACAAGAGTTCCCATTGTTTTCTCTCATCTTTAAAATGCACGCATTATCTTGATACTTAATTTGAAGTATTGTTACTACCTAAATATGCCTCTAGTGAGAAGACAGGAATTCTAAATAAATCTTTGTATCCCAAAGGTGGTGGTAGTGGATTGTCCATCAGTAAACAAACTGAATTTAATTTAGATGAGAGGGATGGTTATAAAATCAGCATATGCAAGGACAGGATACTCTGCTTTGGATAATGTTGCAGGCCTTTTTAAAATAGAAATTGAGAAAGACTGCTTTTATCTGGTTGAGTGGCAGTGAAAACTGCAGACAATGTCCTATCCCACTTTAAAAGAAAACCTTTCAAATATTATTCAAAAAGTAAGCATTTCATTTCCATCCATTTTTCTGATGTACCAGGCTTGGTATAAAACTGACGAATTTTAATTGATTTGCCCCTATAGGATAGTGTATCTTTGTTGTGTCTGGGTTTTTTGGGGGGTGGATGGGTTCTAGGATACCAAGAGGCATGACATAGCTAGTTGGCAAGCAAATTCGCAAGCTGGAAAGGGGTTAGCAGCATCAGGATTGTGAAAATATACTATATTGTTCAGAGAAGCAATAGGAGTAAGCTGAAGCAGTGAGAAACACTAAAAAGTGGTATTTATAGTTTTGCCATTCCCTATCCTAGAAACAGTTGCAATATTTTCTTTTAAATGTGTTATAGCTACTGATTTTAGCAAAAGAACAATGCAAAAAACAAGTACTTAAATCATATGTTTATTCTTTGAAACTCATGTGAATGCTTGGGACAGTCCCTAAGTTAGGCACTTGTTCAATCATTGTCAAAAAGTTTAAATCTGCCCTAACATAGAGTTTGACCCAAGAGGGCATATTGAGTTTCCTTGAGTCAATCCTCCATCTTGAGACCATATAGAATTGTAACATTATTGTCACAAGGGACTGTGAGTTAAGGCTTAAATGGTCACATCAAAGATATTGAGAGGTGAGAAAGTAAATACAAATCAAAGTAATATTAGCCTTGCCAACCCAAAAGAGTTAGTTTAATAGTTTAATAAAATAACAGAGCTCCTTAGCTGGACATAATTTCAGTGATAGATAATCCGTTAGCCACTCTGCATTTAATCTTCTCACTGGTCTCTCTGTTTGGAATTGCATCTGCAACAGTGTGTATGTGGGTGTGTGTATTGTATACAGCAGCAGAAAAGCAATCGATTTTGTAAAACATTTTGCAGACATTTGATTCAGTACATCAAAGTAAATCTATTTTGATCTGATCGCTTTTAATGGAATGATTCAGTTGAAACTTCAGTGAATCAAAGCACCACTAGAAGCTTTGTGCAGTCCTGATAATTAGAGAATTGCATGAAGAGATTTAAAAGAACATTGATTTTGATTTTTCAAATACATTGCCAAAGTGCTCATACATTATAGTTAAGAAAGTAGCACAATTTAAAATTGAATGGAAAAGAAGAATAGAAAAAGAACACCAGTGTTAATTTTATATTTTATTAATCAGCTTGAGAGATTCACCAGTATGAGGATAAAGAAAGAGAAAGAAAAACCCAATACAACATATAGGAATTCATCTGCTTCATACTCGGATATTTCTGGGACAGGTCAAACTTTGCAGGATATCTCTGATGAAGATGTACTTGTTCTCTTTGAGCAGATGCTGGTAAGTACCATTACAATTATATCTTGAGAATAACAAAGCTAAAAGTTCCCCTTTGCTTGTAGCTATGCTGAAATGAATGTGTGATTTTTGTGATGTGAAAAATTCTCTTTCTGCTCTGGGAAGGAGGACTTTGATTTCTTTTTCTACTATAGCAAATAAACACAAATCCTAAAACCAGAATTCATTTGGGAGAAATCAAATATTGTTATTTGTAATTTTGTCAAACAAATACAGCTTCATGTGACTGGATAGTCATCTAATAGGGATGGTGTAGGGAATCCTGCAATGTACATATGGGTAGACTTGATGATCTCCTAGATAACTCCCAACGATAATTCTATGATTATTATGCTTTCTTTGCTAGGTGGATATGAATCTAAATGAGGAAAAGCAGCAGCCTCTAAGGGAGAAAGACATTAGTATCAAGAGAGAAATGGTGTCTCAGTACCTGCATACTTCTAAAGCTGTGAGTTCTTGGATTGTGGAGTGGTCAAATTTAGAGAATATGTCTAGGGTTTGCTTGATTCATGTTGCAGGACAAGTGTCAGCTATCCAAAAATTACATGTAAGAGGTTAACTGTCAAGGATGGCTGGAAATCAGGCATCTATCATTGTCTATACCAGTGGTAGTCAACCTGGTCCCTACCGCCCACTAGTGGGCGTTCCAGCTTTCATGGTGGGCGGTAGGGGATTTGTCCAATATTGAAGCACTTTCCTTTTTTTTAATTTAATTGACTTTTAAAAAAAATTTCATAGCATTATTTAAAAACATTTTCATTAGGTTTTCATAAAATTCCCCGTGACAATTTAAATTTCTGAAAATATACTATTTGTATCGCCCGCACATAAGTTTAGTTCACGTTACATAAGTGAAACTAAATGGCGCTATAGTGTGACCGCAAACAAAAGAGCCTCGTCTCAGAATAGCTCGCACATCTCCCTCCACACCACCCAGCTGTAACAGACAAGCAGAGCTGGTAGCCGGTGCTCCCCGCAAACCCAATCCACAATGCGCGAGAGGCATGCGCAGACGACGATACATGGCGCAGGCTCTTTTGTTTGCGGTCGCACTGGTCAGTACGCAGTTAGATTTGTGAGAGTGAGCATGTGCCTACAGCTTCAAACAAAATATTGTGAGTCTATGTCTCAAAAAAAGAAATACACTCGTGGCTATTTGCCAGAGTATCTGAAGATGGGTTTCATAGAATCTGTTGTAAATAAACAACATCCAATGTGTTTATTGTATCATAAAACATTATCCAATGAGGCAATGAAGCCAAGTCGATTGTGAGAACATCTTTCTACAAAGCATCCAAATATTCAAGCCCATTGAATATTTTCAGAAAATATATAAAAAATTTCAAAATTGTTCAACAATCGTTGCATCATTTAAGAAACAACATGCAGCGAACGAAGATGGATTAATTGCCGCTTATCACATTTCACAATTAATTGCAAAAAGTGGTAAAAGCTATAATATTGGAGAAACTGTAATAATACCCTCTATAAAAGAATTTATCTCAACAGTAATGCATCAGGATATACCTGAAATTTTAAAAACGTTGCCCCTAAGCGATAGCACAGTAAAGCGACGAATTGAAGAAATGGCAGTTAATGTTGAAAAAAAACTTATAAGTATTCTCCAAAACTCTTCATTTTCCATGCAATTGGATGAGTCTACCATTGCAGATAATAATGCTTTATTGATGGCATATGTACGTTATTTTGATGAAAACAATACATTACGAGAA